AAAAAAAAAAAAAAAGTCATAAATCCAAATATTCATGTGCCATCTTATGATTTTTAAGTGTGGGCCATTAAATATATGTAGAGAGAATGCAAACCAAACAATGCATGCCTATCATCTCAAGTTGGCCTACTGACCGCAATTTGCTCTGGATAGTAAGAATATTCTTCCAATGCAAGACACTGGAAAAATAAAAAAATAAAAAATAATTTAAAAAAAGAAAAAAAGAAGAATATTCCAGTCTCAGCCAGGTGCAGTGGCTCACACCTGTAATCCCAACCCTTTGGGAGGCTGAAGTGGGTGGCTCACCTGAGGTCAGGAGTTGGAGATCAGCCTGACCAACATGGTGAAAACCCGTTTCTACTAAAAATACAAAATTAGCCAGGCACGTGCCTGTATTCCCAGGAGGCTAAGGCAGAAGAATTGCTTGACCCCCAGGAGACCGAGGTTGCAGTGAGCTGAGATTGCGCCGCTGAACTCCCGCCTGGGCAACAAGAGCAAAACTCCATCTCAAAAAAAAGAAAAGAATATTCAAGTCTCCTAAAATTCCATACTTAAGAAATATACTTCAACATTCTGCTCTGTGTACACAGAGTAACTTTCTCATCTTTCTATCCTCGTTGAATTTTTTCTCTTTGGAGATTTTCTGGCCCCAATCCAAGCAGAATGAATAGCCCTCATCTGAGTCGTTTAGCAATTTATCCATGTCTCCCATGTAGTGCTTAATGCACGTTGCATTACGGTTATTTGTTCCAAACAGAGCTCTTCAAAGGCACGAACTGTATATATACTCATCTTTATGCCCTCGGCACCTAGTGGGTGCTTGTGCTTGACAGTACAGAAGGTTATCTGGAAATGTTTGCTGACCAGAAGTTTGCTGATCTTATGTCCTGCTTAGGCGTAGCGTTGGAGAGGTTGGCGCTGCGGTGCCGTCAGTGACTTCTGATGACCATTAGAGGGCACACTGATTCCACAGCAGTCTGGACCGGGGCCCAGCTGTCAAGTGCCCCAAAATCCACTCCCCAATTTAGGCCCCCAATGATTATTTCCAACATCATGTCCCACAGCCTTCATTTTAACAACCCTCAACACAAAACAGTCACTTTCTGGGGGCGGCCCTGAACTGTGAAACTTTTCTCTCCCAGTCACCCACCCGCTCTCCTCAGCTTCCTAAAATTTGGGCCCTAAAGATTTAATTCTGCCTTGACACCAGCTCATTTTTTCACGGCTAATCTGCACAATCTGGAAGATGGCAGGCAGGGAAAGAGAGGGGGATCATAGAAAGACTGGGTAACAAGCACTTTGGGCTCGCCTTCAACTTTCACGGCCCTTTCCAGGAACCCGGCACCTTCCACCCACTCCCGAATACACACGTCCACGCACTCACAGTTTCCTGCCGGGATCCCAAACCAGCACATCTTTCCCTCTTCCTCGGAGAAAACCAGGTAGGAGGCGAGCGAAAGGTGGGGCGCAAACGGGCCCCGGCTGCTTCCACACACATGCACGCTCCGTTCAGCTCTCCTTTCCATCCCGGCGAGGGCGCGCCTTCAGAGTGTCCTGTCCTCCGAGGAGGAAGGCATGGGCAACCGAGACCTGGGAAGAGGATCCACCGGGAAGCGCACGGGCTGGACAGCGGGAAGGAAGGAGTTAAAGATCCAGGATTGGCTCTTCTGTCACTGAGTCTGGGAGGGGAAGCGGCTGGGAGGGAGGGTTCGGAGCTTGGCTCGGGTCCTCCACGGTTCCCTCCGGACAGCCGGAGACTTGGGCCGGCCGGACGCCGCTTCTGGCACACTCCCCGAGGCAGGCGCGCACACACGCTCCTCTTTCCTCCCTCGCGCGACTTCTCCCATCCTTTTCCACGGAGTGCTTGCTCGCACCTTTTCTCTCTCTCTCTCTTTCCTCTCTCTGTCTCTCTAACACGCACGCACAAGCCCAGTTGTTCACACTCGGGTCCTCTGGCCCTACGTTCTCCTGGCACCCACCTGCACCGCGGCGCCCTGCGCGCCCCCCTCCATCTCTCCCCTCGCGCTCTTGTCCCAGACCGTCGTAGCTACAGGGGGCCTCCTACCCCGGGGTGAGCGCCACTGTCCCGCTCCTGTTCCTTCCCACAGGGACGCGCCTGATGCCTGGGACCAGCCGCTGAGCCGGAGGGAACCGAGGAGGCCATGGTGGGAGCGCTCGCCCGCTGCGGTGCCCGCTGAGGCCATGCCCGGGCCCCGGCGCCCCGCCGGCTCCCGCCTGCGCCTGCTCCTGCTCCTGCCGCCGCTGCTGCTGCTACTCCGGGGCAGCCGCGCGGGCAACCTGACGGTAGCCGTGGTACTGCCTCTGGCCAACACCTCGTACCCGTGGTCGTGGGCGCGCGTGGGACCCGCCGTGGAGCTGGCCCTGGCCCGGGTGAAGGCGCGCCCCGACTTGCTGCCAGGCTGGACGGTCCGCACGGTGCTGGGCAGCAGCGAGAACGCGCTGGGCGTCTGCTCTGACACCGCCGCGCCCCTGGCCGCGGTGGACCTCAAGTGGGAGCACAACCCCGCGGTGTTCCTGGGTCCCGGCTGCGTGTACGCCGCCGCCCCGGTGGGGCGCTTCACCGCGCACTGGCGGGTGCCGCTGCTGACCGCCGGCGCCCCGGCGCTGGGCTTCGGTGTCAAGGACGAGTACGCGCTGACCACCCGCGCTGGGCCCAGCTACGCAAAGCTGGGCGACTTCGTGGCGGCGCTGCACCGACGGCTGGGCTGGGAGCGCCAGGCGCTCATGCTCTACGCCTACCGACCGGGTGACGACGAGCACTGCTTCTTCCTCGTGGAGGGGCTGTTTATGCGTATCCGCGACCGCCTCAATATCACGGTGGACCACCTGGAGTTCGCCGAGAACGACCTCAGCCACTACACCAGGCTGCTGCGGACCGTGCCGCGCAAAGGCCGAGGTGAGACGCCGGCGCACCGGGTCCCGCCGCTCCGCCGCAGGGCTTCCCCTCTGCCCCGCCGGAGGCATCGGGACTTCCTCTCTTGTCTGGGCCACTCTTCTTTCTCCTCCCCGGTCTTCATTCCCTCTCAGCTCCCAGGCCCTTTCTGCTGCGGAGTTTCTATTTCCCACTCTTCTTCCACTGCCCTCCACCGCGCCTCTATCCTCTCACCTCCCCGACCCCCACTCACTCCCTCCCACCCTGGCTAAGCTCGGTTCTGGTCCCTTTTTATCTCCAGCATTTTCTCGCTTCCCTATAGCCTTCTCCCCACTTTCATCCTCTCTTCCCATTGCTCCTCAATCTCCTCTCTTCTCCCTCACCCCCCTGCCGCCCTCGCTCCTTTCGCCCTCCTGGCCCCACCCTTCTCTACCTTCAGCTCCACTATTCCCCTCTCCATATCTGTCCCTTCCTCTCTTCCGCCCCCCACCTCGCCTTCCACCCTTCGTCTTTCTCCTGCCCTGCCGGGGCCTAGGCTGAGCCGGGAGTTACCACTTAACTCTCACCGGGTCTCTCCTGCCCCCCATCTCTAAACTTCCTCCCCTCGGTGCCTCGGCTTTCTTAGCCCTGCCTCTCCCCCAGTACCCAGGCTTCTCTCTCTGAATACTCCTCTTTCTCCAGTTATCTACATCTGCAGCTCCCCTGACGCCTTCAGAGCCCTGATGCTCCTGGCCCTGGAAGCTGGCTTGAGTGGAGAGGACTACGTTTTCTTCCACCTGGATATCTTTGGGCAAAGCCTGCAAGGTGGACAGGGCCCTGCTCCCCGCAGGCCCTGGGAGAGAGGGGATGGGCAGGATATCAGTGCCCGCCAGGCCTTTCAGGTGAGTACCTAGGTTGGAGGTGAGTACCTAGATTTGAAGCTCAGGCCATCTCAGCTTGTGGCACGTCATTTCTGGGCACTGTGTCCCTCGGTGTCTGAAAGAATTCCAGAAAAAAAGGTTTTGTCTGTTTGTTTCTTCATGCACTCATGGTAACTCACAGAACGGAAAGCTTGGTGATGCTCTCTGGGAATTAGGCAGTGAAGGGCAGGGGACTAGCCAGGGGCGCTTGAGCACCAGCAGGCTGAAAAGAAGAAAATGGGCTTTAGGCAGGTGGAGGTTAAAGTCCCACAGCCTGGACAGGACTTGGAGAAGCCATCCCTTTGGATTCCCTGCTTTGGAATGGGCATCACTTCATGCGGGGAATAGGGTTCAGTTTGACCTGAGCTAAGCAGAGACCCAGCTCTGGGAGGTGGGCTCCTGACTGTTGGGGCCCCAGGGTACCGCGGGGATAGAGTCAGCTCCCAACTCTCTGCTCTCCGCTGACGCTTTCCTCAGGCTGTCAAAATCATTACATATAAAGAGCCAGATAATCCCGAGTACTTGGAATTCCTGAAGCAGCTAAAACACCTGGCCCGCGAGAAGTTCAACTTCACCATGGAGGATGGCCTGGTAAGAAGAGGTACCGGGACCCTCCAGCGTGGACCTCCAGCCCCCACTCCACGACCCTCTGCCAGCCTCCATCCTTCCCTCTTCCCAGTTCTCCCCTTCCCTCCCTTCCCATTGTTTCACGTCTCTCCTGACTTCTCCCTCTGGGATATGAATCCCGAGACTGGTGCCTTCAGGGTAAGTTTGTGCACCCAGAAGACAGTGCCAACTCTGTCTTCAAGGCATCATCAGTGCCTCCTCCTGATGATGGAGGAGGACACTGGCAAGTTCAGCCTCTGAAACTCAGGTTATTATCCGTAATACAGAGACAATACATCCTGCCCTGTGTGCCCAGTGTGATCCAGGAAGCGATGCTAATCCAAAGGCATCATTTAAATAGTAAAATCTAAATAGTCTGTTGGTACCGACAACATAAATAAATAAATAAATAAATAAATAAATAAATAGTAAAATCTCCCAGTGATGTAGGGGTGTTATATTCTCCTATCCTCTTCCAAACTCCCAGTGCCTCTCGTTCCCTTCCCCACAGCCCCCAACTCCATGCCCTTCATTCACCCCACCCCAGCCGACCTCTGCTTGCCCCCACAGGTGAACACCATCCCAGCGTCCTTCCATGATGGGCTGCTGCTCTATATCCAGGCAGTGACGGAGACTCTGGCACATGGGGGAACTGTCACTGATGGGGGGAACATCACTCAGCGGATGTGGAACCGAACCTTTCAAGGTCAGGGCCTTGAGGTGGCTGGAATGGGCTGCCTTGGGGGATGAATCCCAGGTGCCCACTGTCAAGTCATGAGAAGTCTGTGGCACAGAGTCACCAGTGCACACCAGCCTTTTCCTCCACAGCTTTTTCTCAGGCCCATCCCTCCAGAAGTCCTACTGAGTGTCCAACCTCAGTCATCCCTGCTGGGCACTGAATCCTTTTATTTTATTTTATTTTATTTTTTTGTTTTGTTTTATTTTATTTTTGAGATGGAGTCTCGTTCTGTTCTCAAGGCTGGAATGCAGTGGCTAGATCTCAGCTCACTGCAACCTCCAACTCCCAGATTCAAGTGATTCTCCTGCCTCAGCCTCCTGAGTAGTTGGGATTACAGGTGCCTGCCACCACACCTGGCTAATTTTTTGTATATTTTGGGGTGGGCATCACTTCATGCAGGGCATAGGGTCCAGTCTGACCTTGAGCTAGGCAGAGACCCAGCTCTGGGAGGTGGGCTCCCGACTGTTGGGGCCCCACAGTACTTCGGGCATAGAGTCAGCTCCCAACTCTCCGCTCTCCACTGACTCCTTCCTCAGGCTACCAAAATCATTACCTGTAAAGAGACAGAGGTTCTGGGACCCTCCAGCGTGAGCCTCTAGCCCCCACTCCACGACCCTCTGCCAGCCTCCATCCTTCCGTATTCCCAGTTCTCACCTTCCCTCCCTTCCCATTGTTCCATGTCTTTCCTGATGATGGAGGAGGACACTGGCAAGTTTTTTTAGTAGAGACAGGGTTTCACCATGTTGGCAGGCTGGTCTCAAACTTCTGACCTCAGGTGATTTGCTTGCCTCAGCCTCCCAAAGTGCTGGGATTACAGGCATGAGACACAGTGCCTGGCCCTTTTACCATTTGCTGTCATTCTGTATGCGTGTATGTTTGGAAGGCAAGGAAAAAAGATGAGAGGATGAAGAGATGAAGTGGGGTACCCCTGAACTTTCATTCTCTCCAACACAGTCATCTTTCCCTGTGTCCTCAGGTGTGACAGGACACCTGAAAATTGATAGCAGTGGTGATCGGGAGACAGACTTCTCCCTCTGGGATATGGATCCCGAGACTGGTGCCTTCAGGGTAAGTTTGTGCACCCAGAAGACAATGCCAACTTCAAATGGCATCTCACCCTCCTACTTCCCCCCACAGCCCTGCCGGGCACCTGTTTAACCTGTAGCCGCTCTACCGTGCCTGGACACTTACAAGAGCCCTGAATAAAACAGACCCAGCTCCAGTCTGGGGTAGCCGCCAGAACGACAGGGACCCACAGGCATCACACTTGGGGAGCCCCATGGCTGAGGAGAGAGCACAACCCTGCCCTCAGAGAGCTCCAAAGGGAGGCAGGCAGGACTGCCTTCCAGCAGAGACAGGGTCACAAAGGATGCACATTACACACCCCTACAAGTGAGTGAGGACAGGAAGGCACTGAGGCCAATGGCAGCAAGGGACAGGTCATCCAGAGAAGGTTTCCTGGAAGAGGAGTACATGGACTGGGCCTGGAAATGTAGGCTGAGGTGAACACTACCTTCTCCTGTTTTCTACCAAGAAAATAGGTAGATGCCAGGCACGGTGGTGCGTGCCTGTAGTCCCAGCTATTTGGGAGGCTGAGGTGAGAGAATCATTTGAGCCCAGGAGTTCTGGGCTGTAGTGCGCTATGCTGATCGGGTGTCCACACTAAGTTCGGCATCAATATGGTGACCTCCCGGGAGCGGGGGACCACCAGGTTGCCTAAGGAGGGGTGAACCGGCCCAGGTCGGAAACGGAGCATGTCAAAACTCCCGTGCTGATGAGTAGTGGGATCTTGCCTGTGAATAGCCACTGCACTCCAGCCTGGGCAATATAGCAAGGCCCATCTCTAACAAAAAGAAAAAGAAAAAGAAAAAGAAAATAGAGAAAAATCAATGCTTGGTTGGTGCCTCAACCAAGATTATAAACTCCCTGAGTGTAGACATTGGGTTCTATATGGAGTTTTCTTTGTAAAATTCTTGATAGTTTTCAGGTGTTTCCACTTGAATAATTGTGTGGTGTGAGGTCCAGTATTCCAGTGGCAGCAGGGGCTTGGTAAACAGGTGACAACCCAGACATACATAGGCTCCGGAAGCAGAGCTGGGGTAGGTGGGAGGTGAGATTGCTGCGCCACACAGCAGCCTTCCCCTCAGGCCATGGCCTAGCCACCACTCCTGCTCTCCTATAGGTTGTACTGAACTACAATGGGACTTCCAAAGAGCTGGTGGCTGTGTCGGGGCGCAAACTGAACTGGCCCCTGGGGTACCCTCCTCCCGACATCCCCAAATGTGGCTTTGACAACGAAGACCCAGCATGCAACCAAGGTGACTGGCCCTCGCCTTCCAGGTCTCCATTCCAGAGATAGATGCTGCCTCCTTCCCCTAAGCACAGTTGAGTAGGTACTCCTCTCCCTCGCTGAGGGCTTTCTGGAGAATGACTCCTGCCTTTTTCTTCCCTTCATCCATCATCCCTGTTCACCGATGGGCTATTAGAAAGTTCTTCCTCCTGCTGTCTAACCCAAATCTCTCTTGCTCCAATGCGGACTCTCTCCTGCAGATCACCTTTCCACCCTGGAGGTGCTGGCTTTGGTGGGCAGCCTCTCCTTGCTCGGCATTCTGATTGTCTCCTTCTTCATATACAGGTGAGCTGTGATGTGGGGAGGGAGGGACTGTGGCTGGGGAACCCAGAGAGCCAATAGCAGAGGAGGTGGTGGGGACTCAGAGGGAAGAGGGCAGGGATGAAGGGACAGCAGGGGAAAACCAAGGGAGATGAGGGATAAAGGAGACTTAAAAGCCAGAGGAGAGAGAAAGAGAAGGAAATGGCAGGGCGAAGGGAAGAGATAGGGCTAGGAATGGCCAAGGAGAGTCAGAGATATCTAAGAAGCAGACAAGTTGACGGGTGACATCATAGGGGCATGGACTGGTTTCCCTTGCTACTCTTGCCAGCCAGATGGGAAGCAATGTTCTGAACCTTCAGGATCATGCCCATGTTAGCTGAGCAGGGTGGTGAGCCCTGGTGTGTGCCAGGTGCCCAATCTAGAGTGGAGAAGGGAGTTGAATAAGCCCCGTTTCTGCTGTCCAGTGGAGGCTAAAATGCAGTGCAGGAGGAGTTAATGATACACAAAAGCAAGGAGGGAGAGGATAAAATCACTGCTGGTTGAACATATAATACGTGCCAAGCACTTCCACGTACACTATTTCTTATAATAGTTAAGAATGAAATAGATAGGCCGGGCGCGGTGGCTCAAGCCTGTAATCCCAGCACTTTGGGAGGCCGAGGCGGGTGGATCACGAGGTCAAGAGATCGAGACCATCCTGGTCAA